AGGAAGGTGCAGCATCCTTGGGAAGTATGCAAAGAACTCGAGGAGGTGAAATGCTGCCAGGCATGATGGAATTTGCTCTTTAGCAGGCAAAGAGGCAGGGATGTTGGATTTGATCCTATCTGCACAAGCTGTCTCAAATAGCTGCTTACGGTTTTCCAGCCTCCCTCCAAAATACAGATGTCATGGGGATTCAGTGGGATGGGAAGAGACCAGAAGCCAGGGGAGTTTGGCTCCCAAGCTGATCCTTCAGGACTGCCAAAGCTGTTACAGATCAATGGGGATCTGAATCACTCCTCCCAGGGGATGGACTCCAACAGCCTCTGATGCCACCAAGAAGCCAGACCATTTTCTCTTCTCAGCCTCAGAGCTCAGCAGACCTCAGAAACAGAAATTGTCCAGAACCCCCGGGAGCAGCTGGGGGTAAAGCTGTGACCGTGGTTTTAGTTAAGCTTAGCTTCTATTAATCTAATTTAAAACTGTGCCTTTAATGGTATTGGTGCAACCCACAATGGGAATTTATGACGTTTCAAGCAGCTGTTTTAATTCAGAGCACTAAAATGTTGATTTGTCTGAGAATGGCAATTCCAAAGATTTCTCTTTTAAAATTAAGTCACGTTCAAATAAGTTTTCCAATGCCTTATGAAATGGTGAAAAATCAAGTCGTAGTTAAAGCAGTGTCTAGTATAAATTTCATTGGAAATTGAATTAGGGCACTCACTTTGCAGGAACACCTTGGTGTTGTGGAAGAGCAAAGGGGCAGTTTCCGATTCCATGTAAATTTATGAATTCCCATTAAATTAATTTCTTTCTTCAAAACCTCATTTTCCAAGAGACATTTCCCAGCTGATATCTTCCAGTGAGCGCATGCAGGGAGGAGCTGTTCAGACTGGGCAGAGGGCAGAGGAGCTGCGAGGAGTGGGGAGCCAGGGGCAGGACAGCCAGCACAGCCGAGCTGCGCTAGCACAGCCTGCACGCTGACAAATAAATAGATGTGTCTGCCTCTGATTTGCATGTTTATCTTAGAAGCAATTTAGGTTTCTCCCTGTTTACAAGAGCCAAAGTCAGCAGGCTCTCCACAAGAACAACAGCCTGGAAGGCAGCGCCTGGCGGTTGTCTCCTGGTGGGATGTTGGGGTGAGATGCTCAGCCCAGCCTGGGGAAGCAGCGCTGCAGCCTTCAGGGAGGGAGGAGGGCTTGGCCTGCGGGCTGCAGGAGCACCTGTCCTCGGAAGGTAAAGGCTTTGCCTCGGCTGGTGCTGCTGCCCTGCGAGAGGCAGGGAAGGGAGGGCAGGAGAGGCAGAGCAGTGTCCCCAGCACGGACCCGCACCCGGGCTGGGGAAAATGGGAATGCGCCTGGAGCTGCACCCTGATCGGCAGGAGGTGACACTGGTGACACTGCAGCCCGGCAGGAGGTGACACTGGTGACACTGCACCCTGATCGGCAGGAGGTGACCCTGCAGCCTGATCGGCAGGAGGTGACACTGGTGACACTGCAGCTCGGCAGGAGGTGACACTGCAGCCCGGCAGGAGGTGACACTGGTGACACCGCAGCCCTGGCAGGAGGTGACACTGGTGACACTGCAGCACCGGCAGGAGGTGACACCGCAGCCCCGGCAGGAGGTGACACCGCCGCATCACGCAGCCCAGGGTGGCCAGCCTGGAGGGATGGTGCCAGCCCCTTACCCAAGCTGGGCGAACAGCTCCGCACCTGGCAAAGGACGATGCCAGGGCTGCACACACCCTCAGGAGGCAGCAGCATACGGAATTCTGTCGGACAGGGTGGGGATTGTCATCCCCACGCGCATTGAATTATCCACTCCCTTCTGCCCTGCCTCCCAGCTCCTCCTCACTGCAGGCTACCCGGCTCCTGCTTCTGCCTCTCTCCTCCCAACCCTGAAGTCTAAGCCTGAGTAGCCTCCAGCATCAGGAGAAGTCATTGCTCACAGATTTTTCTGAACTCAGGCCTTGGGGTTTGTGGGTTTTTTTCAGCTAGAAAAATGCAGATTACCCCCGAGTACAGCACTGCAGAAGTGTGCCACTTCCAGCACAGCTTCACTTGTTTGAAAACAAAGTTCTGATAAGGCAGCTGGGGACTTCTCAGAACATCCATTGTCTTTCCCATTGCAGTGTTTTTAAAATGTCACAGATTTTGAGAAATAAATTGGAAGGGGTGCTTTCATCTATCCAAAACAAATGTTTGGGTTTTTTCCCTCCCAAAACTCTGCTTGGCAGAATTTTCTGATGTTCCTTGTCTTGCTCCATTTCGGAGTAACTGAACTCTACTGGAGCATTTCTCACCAAGTGGAAGCTTTCGTCTTTGCTGAGACAACCACAGCCTTTCCAGGACATGGGAGGAATTTTCCCTTTAGCTGTGTGTTAGATTTCAGTACACAAACTCTGATGGAGTTCTGTAGGTGCTGCTGTAAATGTGCTGCCACAGGCAAAGTGAGATGCAGCCACTGACCCCGGCCCTTCTGGGATGCACATGGCGAGCTGCTGCTGCTGCAGTTGCTGCCCTTCGCACTGCTCTCCCTCCACTTTCTCCTGCTGATAATGTTTTCTCTGATCTGGCTATTTGGCAGGAGAATTAAGGAGAAGTAATTAGCTTCCAGTGTGAAAAAGGGAGTGCCTAGTGTTTATCTTGTCTGGAGGGTTTCCCTTGATCTCGGTCTCCCAGGGGATGGTGTTAGTGCTTTATCCATCACTCTCCAGGCGGGAGGCAGCTCCGCTGCCAGCTGCTGTGTCCCAGCCCACTGCTGTGACTGGAGACCAGCGCCCCAGCCCCAGAAGGTCCCTGGTGAGGTGGCCCATCACAGAACATTTTACCTTCCCCAGCTTCCCCAGCATCACTTTTCTCCAGCAAAAAGGAGCTTTGGCTACTTCTGAACCTCCATCCTGCAACCTGCTGCCTCCAGCATCTCATCACTGCTCTTGCCAACACAGGCAGGGATAAACCTGCCATCCCCACCCTTGCTGGGCAGAATGGATTCAGGGCTGGGGACCTGACCATGCTTCCCGGGAGGAATTCTGCAGTGTGAGTCGATGTCACGCTGCCATCATCCAGCTGGTGGGATGCTGCTCTGCCCTGCCCCCATGGGAAGGAACGGGCTGCTCTCAGAGTCTGGCACGAGCAAGGCAGCGAAACATCTGCAGTCAGCAGTGCTTGGGGAGCTCCTGTTGGCTTTTCTTTCCTAAACAGCTTCTGCTGCTTCCCTGCTCCCCTGCTTCAGGATGAAAGGCTGGTGAGCATGCCTGAGACAATAACGCTCACTGCCCCTTGGGGTCTGGGCTTGCAAAGCCATGGGAAGCTGGGTTTATTATCCTCAGCTCCAGCCCGAGATGACCTTGTGCTTCTGCCAGCATTTAAACAAAATATTTTAAAAGAGGGAGCAGATCCCATTGCTTTCTGTGCTTGCAGGGCTTTCCTGAGCCTGGGAGCTCTCTCTGGGGTGGATAGAACTGAGAGAACATGTCCAGAGACAGACAATGAAATATTGTCCAAGCTTATTGCTTTTTATTATTATTGAAGGAAAGCTTTTGCTTCCAGTCTGGGGGTTATAAAAAATCTGAATATCACCCAAACCTCATCCCTTCCAGCCAGAATCCCAGCTCCGTGCTCTGTGGCAAAAATCATCCTCAAGCACAAGCAGCCAGAGGGGTGAGCGGGTGGTGCAGGCGGGAGCTGACTGGGATGGAAAATTCCATGTTGCTGCCATTGTCCGGGATGGGGAGAGAGCGTGGGGCAGAGCTCAGGTCCCTCCCCCATGGCTATGGAAAGCTGCCCATGGGCTCAGCCAGGCTCTGCTGTTTGTGCCTGGTCTTTCTGCTCTGAGTTCCTGCTCTCTCCCCACTGTTGCGGGGAGAGGACCAGGATACAGGTGGGACACAGGCAAGATAGGAGCCACAGCATAGTTCTGCCAGTTACGGAGCTTCAGGGCATGAGAGTAAATGTTCAGTAGATGCAGAGAGAGAAATGGACAGCTAGGGGATGGCAGTGTGGTGAGGAGTGCAGCAGAAAGGGCAGAGCCTGTACGAGCCGCCCTGGGCTCAGCTGGGCTCCATCCTGCTGTGCTCAGCAGGGCTGGGCGACAGCGCGGGGCTGGGATGTTGGGAAGAGGGTGGGAGGGAGGTTTTGCACATCAGCAAGTTTCTCTGCTGCTGCCCCAGGAGCTGACACAGGCCAGGCTTATGGAGACATCCCATGACCCACAGAACCCGGAGCTGACTGTCTGCTGGGGGACATGGGCTCCACAGTCCCTCTGCTCCTTCCTGCACTGATGCACACACTGAGAAGACCTCTGCTTGCTCCTGGCTCATGCATCTCGGGATTATTTTATTAAACAAAAAGACTGTGATGGCTCAGCTGTGCCCTGTCCCTGTCTCCTGCCTGTCTGAACCACAGCCCCAGGCAGGTCTTGACATGTGCCTCACAGCTCACCCGTGCCAAGAGGATGCTGCAAGGGGGCACATTTCTGTGTAGAGACACTTGGGACAGAGCCTGGAGCAGCTCTGACACAGCTAGAAAGGAAACAGGGAAACTAGACTTCAATATAAGACCCACCAAGCAGAGTGGGGATCTGGAGTCACTTGGTTTGGTCAGCTGGAGAAGAGGAGACTGAGGTCAGACCTCATTGGGGTCTCCTGAGGGGTGGTGGAGAGCAGCTCTGATCTCTGCTCTCGGGGACCAGGGACAGGAACCAAAGCAGTGCCTGGAGCTGTGTCAGGGGAGCTTTAGGATATCAGGAAAAGGCTCTTCTCCCAGCAGGTTGTCAGGCACTGAACAGGATCCCCAGTGCCGTGGCCGTGGCCCCAAGGCTGCCAGAGTTCAAGAAGTGTTTAGCCAACACTCTCAGTCCCAGGGTGGGATTTTGGAGGTGTCTTGTGCAGGGCCAGGAGTTGGACTCTATGATCCTTGTGGGTCCCATCCCGCTCAGGATGTTCAGTGACTCTGTGACTCCCCTGTGCAGGCAGGACAGTAATGTGGTACCGTTCTCTCTTGCAGGTACATCGGGGCACTGGGCGCCAGGGTGATCTGTGATAACATCCCTGGGCTAGTGAACAAGCAGCGACAGCTCTGCCAGAGGTACCCTGACATCATGCAGTCAGTTGGGGAGGGAGCCAAGGAGTGGATCCGGGAGTGCCAGCACCAATTCCGGCACCACCGCTGGAACTGCAGCACCCTGGACCGTGACCACACTGTCTTCGGCCGGGTCATGCTGCGAAGTAGGTCCTGCCCTGTCCCCTTCCCACCACCATGGGACTTGTCTTCCTGGGGTCTCTCCTCCCACTGGGCTGCCATGTCCGGTGGCTTGGATTACTCCCTGAGGAGAGCTTTGCCTTTCCGTGTAAATTAATCAAGTAGTAATGGGAGCAGAGCACTGCGTTTGGAATAGCTGCACCAGATGAGATGGAGCAGGGGGAGCACTGGCGGAGAAGGGGGAAGGAGGAGACACCTCCGGAGAACAGGCTCATGTGTAAACAGTAATGGGATATATAAATATTTGGAGAGCGGGGTTGGCCAGGACTCAGCAATTCACGTGGGAACTGGCTGCTCCCTTGCATGGCAAGGGAGGCAAGGCACAGATGCAGCTCCATCCTTGCTTCAGGCTCTGAGGTGGAGGAGGACCATGGCCACGGGGCAGGTGCCAGCCCTGCACAAAGGACTGGGCATGGCCCTGCCCGGGAGCGACCTTCCCACTCCAGGTGAGGGACAGACACAGCACAAGCAGGGATGCACCAAGAAATGTACCCAGGGAACAAAGAGGAAAGGCACAATGGGGACAGGGTTGGGGCGGTTCCAGAGCAGGAGCAGCACCAAGGGCTCCAGCTGCCCTGGGAGTGCTCTGGGAGCAAACAGACCCTGGGAGCCGGCACAAGCCCCGGCAGAGGCAGCAGCACTGCAGGACAGATGCTGCTGCATCTCATGACGTGCCGGGAGCGTCCAGCCATGCGGCCTCCAAATCAAAAGCGGCTGGAAAAGTCTTTCCACTCGCAGCTCGTATGGAGGACACGTGAGTGGCGCAGAAGGAGCCGGTGAGTGGGGGGCTTGCTTGAGCTGGCGGGGGGGATGGGGCAGCTGCCCGTGGGGTGGGCAACAGCAGAGCCACCAGCTGGATGTCCGACCCAAGTGGAGGGAAGGGACTGGAATGCTGAATGCAGCATTCGCCCCACCACGCTGCAGCCTGCCTGCTCAGCCGCTCTGTTCCCAGCACAGCACCTTTTTTCCTGCTTGCATCCTCTCCTGGCAAAGGATGGGGAATGATGAAAGCTCCTCGCCACAGCCCCATCCTGCGAGGCCCAAAGAGAGCTCTGCTGCCTTTGAAGTTGCTTTCAAAGGCTCTCGAAATGAAGACTAACATGGTTTTGATTTGCAGCTTCTTTTACAACATTATAAAAACAGCTGCGAACTTGGAGCAGAGACACAAAATAGCAGGCGGCAAGCTGTGCTGTGCGGGAAGAGCCCAGCCCGGCCAGAGGGACGGGAGTGGCTCTGGCAGAAGGGTGGTGGCTGGTCTTGCCACCTGCGGGCAAGGGCTCCAGGGCAGCCAGGATGGACGCTGTGGTCACCAGAGGTGGCTAGGCTGGGCTTATCCACATAAAGGATGGTCTGGCTCCCCAGGCCCTGGTTCTTCATGGGCTGCAGGCCCTTGGCAGAGCCTGGCACGCTCAGTCCCCGTTCCTTTGTCTCTCCCGTGGCAGGCAGCAGGGAGGCTGCTTTCGTCTACGCCATCTCCTCGGCCGGGGTGGTCTATGCCATCACGCGGGCCTGCAGCCAAGGGGACCTCAAGGTCTGCAGCTGTGACCCGCTCAAGAGGGGCCGCTCCAAGGACGAGCGCGGGGAGTTCGACTGGGGCGGCTGCAGTGACAACATCAACTACGGGATCCGCTTTGCCAAAGCCTTTGTGGATGCCAAGGAGAAGAAAGTGAAGGATGCCCGGGCGCTGATGAATCTGCACAACAACCGCTGCGGGAGGATGGTGAGTGCAGCCCCTGCAGCAGAGCCCCGAGCTCGCCCGTCCCACTGGGACCTTCCAGAAGGGACTGGGCAGCCAGAACAGCTTGGAACACCCGGAGGAACGGGACCTTGGGCATCCCTGGAGGGCAGTTCCTGCAGTGGATAAGGCTGGATGCTGCCCCGCCTTCCCAGTGCTCCCCTGCATGCCTTGCCCCAGGGAATGGCAGGACCTCGCTCACCTTTGCCTCTTGTCTCCTTGCTGATGTTGGCATCGGTGACCTCAGTACACAGCCCCTGTGTCCCATCAGGAGCCCCATCCCACACAGCCTAGGGCTGATAAGCTGCACCAGGAATGAGCAGACACTGCTGCAGTATCTGATGCCCAGGGTGACCACTGGTCCTTACCCTTCTCTCTTCCCACAGGCTGTGAAGCGCTTCCTGAAGCTGGAGTGCAAATGCCACGGGGTCAGCGGCTCCTGCACACTAAGGACTTGTTGGCTGGCTATGTCAGATTTTCGAAAAACAGGGGATTACCTAAGAAGGAAATACAATGGGGCCATCCAGGTGACGATGAATCAGGATGGCACTGGCTTCACAGTGGCCAACAAGAACTTCAGGAAGCCCACAAAAACAGATCTGGTGTATTTTGAGAACTCACCTGATTACTGCGTGATGGACAAGTCAGCAGGTAAAACCTGGAGCTCCAGTCATTACCCAAAAGCATCTCTTGTCCCTTCCCAACAGACCAGCAGCTCCCAGCTAGCCCAGCCTGTGGGCTCAGCTCCCCAGTCAACCCCAGTCTTTGGAGAAGGGGTTACCCAGACCCAGGAGTCCCCACAGCACCCCACACCTGCACAGGCAGGACTGCGTTTGTCCCCAGGCTTTACATCAAGGCCCCAGACCCCTCAGGCCATCACAGAAGTGGAGTGTATCCTCAGAGCCCGTCTTCTGCAGAGCAAAACTCCCTTGAACAGGCAACAAAGAGCCTGTTCCATGCACAGGCTGCTCCTCTGAACCCAGCCCAAGGCTGGGATGAGAGGAGGGAAGAGCCATCAGGGCTGCTGGACTCCTGCAGAGTGATCAGTGGTTTCTCAGCCTGGAGCACTCCCAGTTTAGTTGGCAGCAGCCATGGGAGTTCAGTGGGGAGCACAGGTCCTGCCATCCTCAGCCTAAGCAGAGAGGGCATTCTGAGCTTTGCCAGCTGCAGAACCTGGCTCGGTGGGCACACACTGTTCCAGGGGGTCCCCAAGGCACAGAGGGGCTGCAGAGAGTCCATCCCTGTCCCCTACCGCTCTTATGCTCTGGCAGCAGCACACACAGGCTCTAGCAGTGGGCATGGGAAGGGGGCCATGCAGATTGTCATAGAAACTCAGAAGGTTTTGGGTTGGAAGGGATGTGAAAGATTATCTCATTCCAACCCTCCCTCATAAGGGACATCAGAGACACCAAAGCTGCATCCCTGGCTGGGTTTGTGGCATCCCCTGTCCGTGAAGCACAGCAAGCGCAGGCTTCGAAGTGGTGCCTTTGGAGAGCGCAGTGCAGCACGTGCTGTGACAGAACAAGGGATTTCCCTGCTAAAGCAGTGGCACCCAAGGTCCCCCTGCAGCTGGAGATGCCCAGTCTCACCAGTTACCCCTGCGGGTGGGTGGGACACGAGGGAGGACAAGGCCGTGACCTGCTCTGGCTTCCTTCCCCAGGCTCGCTGGGCACGGCTGGCCGGGTGTGCAACAAGGCGTCCCGCGGGACGGACGGCTGCGAGGTGATGTGCTGCGGGCGGGGGTACGACACCACGCGCGTCACCCGCGTCACCAAGTGCGAGTGCAAGTTCCACTGGTGCTGCGCTGTGCGCTGCAAGGAGTGCGAGGACACTGTGGATGTGCACACGTGCAAAGCACCCAAACGGGCTGAGTGGCTGGATCAGACCTGACCAGACAGGAGCACTGAGGGAAGAAGCCACTGCCACCCCCCCTTGCAATTTTTTTAAAACCCCTGTGCCCTGAGGGCCACGATGTTCTGGGAGCTGTAGTTCAACTGCATGGCTTTTATTTAATTAATTCTACAAAGCACTAAGGAAAGGACTACAGCTCCTAGGAGGTACTGTGGGCCTTTCAATGTGCTCAGCAAAACTAATCCCTGACCTAGCAGGAGGCTGCGATCCTTGCTTAAACTGTGAACCTGCAAAGGTTCTCTTCACAAAGGGATGGTGTGACCAGTAGAGACTCGGAGGACTGACTGTCGGGATGTGATGGCTGAGGAATCCTGTACCTCCCCAGAGAATCTACGTTACAGTAAAGCTTCACCAGCGAAAACACTAGTTCAGAGTAATCCACTCCTGCAAAAGCATTCTTGCTTTTTCTTTTTTGCAAGGCCAGAGGAAGGGTGTTGTGAATCTGTAAGACAGTTCCATGATACCTGTATTTACCTTGAGCAGCCTGACACATCACTAACACCACTGAGCAAGAGTCACCTCTGCACGAGGCTTGTCCCTGCGTCCCCAGCACCAGGAACAAGTGGAGCTGTAACTTGGAACTGAACCCTGAAGGACTGCACAGAGACAAAGGCCACCTCTAGATGCTGGTGGACATACAGGGCTTGAGAGAGCAAATGAAACCTGTGAACTTACTGGTAGGTTCTGAAGTCAACCATACAACAGCATCTCTGTACAACTCACGTGTATGTTGTGTATACTGCTTATTATTTTAAGTCAAAATTCATTATAAACCTGTACCAGAAAATTATGTCCTTTGTTTTTTGAATTCCTACACACTCAGTTGGGCCCATCCCCAGAGCAGGAACCAGCCCACAGCGTTTCTTTTCCCTGCTGTCTGCAGCTCCTGCTGTCTCAAAGCTTCCTACAGAGTTGAGCATCCAGAGCCCCAGGGGAATCCTTTCTCAGCAGGATCACACTTCAGGACATGTGGATAACCTATCCCCAAAAGTGTTCAGGGCCAGGTTGGACAGGGCAGATTTACTGTGGCATTTGGACTAACATTCGCACAGCCTGTCACGCTCTGTGTGCAACCTTCCCCATCCCTTATTCCTGAAGCTGAGTCATGGAAGGCTGCTCCAGCTAGCAGCAGGGGGGTCACTGCTCTGGAATCACAGCCAGTGAGTCAAGGCAGGAGAATGCAATAGTCACATACTGTGTCACTGTTTTATAACTGATGAAAACCCACAGCCAAATTAGCAAAAAAGTCAAGAGGTTGTTAAGAGAAGGGTCCAGCCGATGAGGCTGTGCTGTGATTGCACAACTCAATGCATGCATGGTAAAAGGAAAATGTTGCTGGCCAGAAACAACCAAAGGGGGAAGATCCCAATGGAGGAACAGGCTCATCATGGTGGAAGCACCCTTAGTGATGCCGTAAGCAAGGGTGTGTTATCTCACTCTCCCCAATGACCAGACTCACTAAGATCCCACCAAAGAGCACAAAACAGCAGTCGAGGCTGGAAATGAGAATTCCAAGCACATGAGCAGCATCCCTGATCATGGTCTTGTAGGGCTGGGGCTTGCAGAGCACACCCTGCCAAGGAGGCTCCAGATAGGGAGGAGGCAGCCAGGAGACAGAGCTGGAAACTGAAGCTGCCTTTACTCTTTATCCACCTTTACTGTAAGATGGGTGAATTCAGAGCACAGGGCACTGAACACAGAAGCTCACTGTGATTGCTATTGTCATCCTGACTGACCTGTATATATTTTTCCCAAAAGCAGGTGACAACAGCTCATACATCACCTCTGCAGCCATCTTAATTAAATGCAGACAAGAGGAGTCTGTCCCTTTTAACAGCAAATCATGGCAAGCTTGACACTGCTCAGAAGCTGGTAGAGTATGAATGCTGGAGGAGAGGTTTAGATGGGCTGTCAGGAAAAGGTTCTTTCCCCAGAGGGTGGTTGGGCACTGAACAGGCTCATCAGGGAATGGCCGTGGCCTCTTGGCTGCTGGAGCTCCAGGAGCCCCTGGACAACACTCCTCAGGCATAGGAGGGATTGTAGGGGTGTCCTGTGCATGGCCAGCAGCTGGACTTGATCTTTGCAGGTGCCTTCAGCTCCCGATATTCTGTGATTCCATGAAGCCCAGCTGCCCTCTCCAAGAGCACAGCACAGGTCCCACCTGCGCTGCCCCTGACCTGCACAGCTGGGCCCGTTCGGACACAGCACAGCCTCACTGGTCCCACGCACACACCCCAAACGTCAGCTTGGGAGGTGCTGCTCCCCTCACTGCCTCCCCTCTGAGCAGGGGGAAGGGCAATATTAATTTATGTCTGGCCGAGCCCCATCCATACATTTCCTTTCCCTAAGGGAGTCTGCTCTCATATTTAACCTCTTTATTCTGCTGGCACTGGAGGTGGATGATGCAGTTTGTGGAGAGGTGCAGGCACTTCCCTCTCCCCCTCCTCCTGGAATCTTCTTCTCACTTGTCCTTGGGATTCACCCAACGTTTCTCAGGAAAAAAAAAGAGAAAAAAAAAAAAAAAAAAAAAAAAAAAGAGGACCTCTAGACAAGTATGCATTTAATAAGCAGTGAGACAAATAAGCTCCAGTTATCCCAGCAGAATTACAACACCAGAGAACAATTTTCTGCATTCCTCTGAAGGCCTGAAGGAACCCAATTGCCTGCTCTCAGGCTAAATAGGTACCAGACACCAAGTGCTCCATAAGCAAACAGAGCCCCCAAAGTGCAAAAATGAAATAAGTAAAAAGCCTCACATTACATATAAACCAGCCGTTTGCACCTTGTTATTAATGGTCTCAACTATGACCTTTACACCCTGCCTTGCTCAGAGTCATGGATCTATGAGGCTTGGCACCCTCACAACAATTCCAGATGAGGAGCAGGGAATAAACTTGCCTAGCCAGTGCTGGAGAGATGCAGGAAGGGAACTGGCCTGTGACAAATCTGGATGGAGAACCACCCCAGGGCCATCTCCATATGAATTTGTCCCCATAACCTCAGACCAAGGTGTGTGAGAGCATGAAAAGTCCTTTTGCCACATACATACGTGCATAAAAACTAACAGGCATCTATTCCAAATTTCAAAAACTAAGGTCTCCCAGTATGGCAAGTATCTGTCAGAGATTACTTCCCAGAATTGTGATGTGATTTATAGCCCACATCAACTAGGGCTGCAATGAACAGACCTTTTACCCTAAAATATTTATTAGTCTGAACTGCCTCACCTCTGCTGTAAGAGTTTTATTATTCTAACAGTGCCAATAGCCAGTGGAAAGGTTTGCTCTAGTACCCACTGTACCATCATGGTACATTTATTCTGAAATGCTCCTACTTCAGTAGCTACACAAAATCAAATAGCCAATAGCATGTAAGCATCAACTTCCAAACACTTCAAGTCAGACAACATTAGGAAGTGTTTCAGTAACGTGTTAAATCACTTTTGTGTCATCTCTCCAGATGCACATGCAATAAACTCCTGATTCACAAAGATCTTCAGAGGCTTCTCATTAAAGTCAGTGGTAAGACAGAAGAATTCACACAAGAACTCAGCTGCTTAATTGTTTCACGGACAGTAACTTTAACATGTTAACACTTCCCCCTTTCCCGCCCTTTCTGTCCTTTTTGGCAAATACTCCTGGAGAAGTCAGAGGTTGGCAGGAAGAAATGCAGCTACATTTCTCTTCCTGGACATCCTGATCAAGAACTAACCTGTCATGACATGGTGAGACACTGTGAGCACACAAAACTCCCCAACAAACCAAACTCACCCCAAACTCAAACTCTGCCTAAATGATCAAAGAGCCTATAATTACCCTGGTTTACAAATACACAGATCCAGGTATAGAAATAAATGGTGATCTTCAAGATTTTACTTTCACTGGCTACTCTGAATGAACTGAAAAGTTGAGAAGTCTGTTAATGCCACATAAAGGCTTGTGGAAAAGCTATTGCCATCCCAATGGCTGTAAAGTCACCACACTTCTTGTTTCAAAGAAGCTACATCAATATTCATCCTGTCCTGAGGCATAATTGTAATTTTTAATGTAAATATACATAAAAATGTATATGTGTATATACATATACAAACACACACACTGTAATTGATATGGTATTACTAAGGCATGGGTCAGGTGTAAGTCTCTGCTCCTAAGTGGCAAAGGAACACTTCCCAAAAACATGGACAATCCTGCTGGAAAATCATAGAGAGCACTCTTTCCTCAAGAATTGCTGGCACTTCTAGAGACAGGAAGATTTTCATTACACAGCCTGCTGCCAGCTCTCCTTTCAGAACAAGCCCACCCCCTTTCTGTTACTGTTATGTCAAGGGAGGACAGTGAGAGAAAGCAGCTCTTGGGATGATACATGGGAGGCAGAGCTTCATTTATAACCCCACACAACTGCTGGAAAAGGTTCAACTTTAAAAAGCATTAGGCTGGTTACCTTATGGGCCCCTGCAGACCACGAAGTGAAATCACATGAACACAACAGGTCTATTAATCACCCCAGTGATTCCAGAGTGAGAAACAGCCCCAATGACCAACTGGGAAGAAAGTTGAGAAAATTACATTCTAGTAGTTAGGTAACTCTGAAAACACTGGTAGTATCTTTCTGGAGGGCTTCCCTTTTGATTCCTTGATGAATTCAAGTAGTTAACCTGGATTTAAGTCCAGTCAACAGAAATATACAGTGGAGGCAAACAATGGCATTTCTACCCAAGCAAGTATGTTTCCCTTCAGAGTTAAAAATAAACTACACTTACATGAGATGCAGAGGTGACTTTCTGCTTCACAGAACTTGGTTTACAAGATAAAGAAGGATTTGGAAATAAGCAAAAATAAAAATCAATTCTTGATCTTTGACTGACATAGACACTGTTTCAGAGAATACAGTAGGCTACAGTAAGCTTCTTCCATCCAGGATTCAGAAACTGCATTAATTTACACCACCTTTGGAAGAAGCCATCAACGTCACAAACATTCACAAAGATAGTGGAGATCAAGCTTGTAAAATCTCCCCAGTTCTTATTGGTAAGTATATGTGCTTATCTGCAAAAAGCAAGATGATGGGTTTTCATGTGCCTAGAATTAGCATTTATCCACAAGCCTGTGCTATTTTTATCACTTCCCCTTCTAAGAAGCCTGGGCTGACATAGCTCTGCTTCCCCAATGCCAAGCAGCAGACCTGCATGGGAAAAAGACTTTTGCTCTAATGGAGAGTGGAAATGGAAGTCACACCAATTATCTCCAACCGTGGCTGCCACAGCCATCTTTTCACCTCTGCAGTAAACAAACCCCCAGGGCTGGTCTGTATGCGAAGCAAATCCTTTGAGGAGTTTTCCACATCTGGGTTCCCTTCAAGTCTTCATAACAACAGTGAAACTACTTTAGACTAACCCTTGAAGGTTCAGGTATCCCAAAAGACTTCCCTGCAGATATCACAACACTTTGGGCAGTTTCAGAAGCCATCCTGTCTTTCAAAATGCCTTGTTTTGAAAAATAAAAGATGCACAATTATATCAAAAGAAGTAATGTGAAATAGAGGAGTTTACCATCTCCTTGAGTAATGCAAGCTCATAAGAAACAAACCTTTGTTTGCACATTGTAATCTATGTTTAACAGACACTTAAGAAGTCAACAAATTCAATGTGTTAAGTAGCAACCTTTTAATAAAGAAAGCAGAACCAAACTTTGCTGTTAACAAATATTTTGAAAAAGGCTTATGAAATGAAATCTAAGCCAAGTATCTGGTGCATCTGCAGCTGAGAAGGAAGCATCAGTACTCCAAACACCTGCTCAGTTTGTGTATTCTCCTTTTTTACAGAGGAAGTATGAGCTTCCAGTTGTCCAAGTGATTTAGAGAGCAATAAACTATTGCTCAACAAGACCTATTTTCTTAGATGATTACAGATTAAGGCCAAAGAAGAAATTCACATGTTAAGCACCATCAGCATGGAAGCCAGTCAAGGATATCAGTTTAAAGAGCCCAGATTTCTTCCTTGGCTCCCACCACTGAGGGTTAGCCAACAACCAAGTGAGGCTCATAAGAATAAAATCAAACTATCATGGAAAATACACTGGCCAGTCACACTAGTCAGCTGATGCCAGGGGCTGGACAGCAGCAGGTCCTCAATGCGTTCCACAGTGAAGATGAAGGGTAAAAGAAGAGTCCCAAAGCACTGGAAGAAACAGAACACAACAATAAATCAGCTCAGTTTCCAAACCAACTTCCTTATGCAGACTCAAGGTATGAGCAAAAACAGTCCTGTGTTTTGCCCTCAGGGCAACAGAATTCCAACCCCTTCGCTGCTGATGCCATGAAATAGGCTTGTTGCAAACATTAGATGTTCACGAAGACACCCAGAAGCAGCAGCTCCAGCCTCGTGCACTCACCCTGGTGCAGTCCATTCAGCTGGAGGCCAGAACACTGGGAGCACTCACTGGCCACAGCACCCGCAGCACCTGGGCAGAAGCACAGGGGTTAAGATGCCATTCCTCCATACTGCAACTCTTCCAGCTGCTCAGCACTGTGCCTGCAGGGCTGAACAGACTAGGGAGCAGAGGACAGCGGATTTCCAGACATCACAGAACTGTTCAGGTTGGAAGGGACCTTAAAGATCACCTGATTTTTTCAACATTCAGGCATAGATTATTTACAGGTCACCAACTCAAATGGAACAGCCCATCCACCAAGACCAGTCTGTGCTTCCAGACGGGATCCATATTCTAGATGCCATCTAAACAGTTCCAGAAGTAAGATTAGGCTAAAACAAATCGTGCAAACTCCCCTGCACCTTCTCAACCCATCCCCCCGATATTCCACTGGCACTCAGGTTATCCTTGTGCAAACCCTCACTTCATGAGTTAGCAACAACAGGCCTCATTTACTTTGAAAGTTTTACTTTGGCCCTCCTGGCTTCTATCATAACCTCAAATATTACATTAAAAAGGCTTTTAAAACATAACATTCACAGCAGTGTAGACGCTTTTCCTTGCAGTGGGCTTCTTCCCTGCCTGTTAGCGTGTGGCACCTTCACATTAAGTGCATGAGTTAAGATGTAGATTAGCAAGGCAAGAAACCTTTGCCCTTGGCATCGACACTCAGCTCTGACAGGAAACTTCAGGCTTTTTTTTCCCTACCAAGTGTAGAACCACTCATTACACATTGGCAGGGAAGTGCACATCTCCAAACTATACACATTTTCTCTTAGATAAGCAAAAGACTCAAGTGTTTATAAATATGAAAAGTTCAGCAGCTGGCTAAAAAGTTAATTCTCC